AAGCCAATTTGACTTTTTATATGGATGTATGTGTTTAAAGTAATGTTTGTGAAGAAAATGGTTGCTGCAAACTTGTTGGATTGCAACCTGCAAGACTTAAGATAGTTGAATAGACTGCTGAAAGTGTTAAATATTTGTCTAGATACTGTTTGGTCCACACTGTCTTTGGTGTGCATTTTGGTGCCATCCATGTTGAGTTCAATGTTCATGTGCACTAGAGTAGCTCTAAGTTCTTCACCAAATTAGAAGTGTAATTTGCTAATGAAAATGTAATTTCATAATCAATACTGTTGTCAGCACAACGGTCAACTTGAGGAGGGCTCCTCAGCAGTACCAGCCTTGGAAAATGTGCCAGATGAAGTGAACCCTTTTCCCCTCTTATGTGGCGTGGTGTGAGATGTAAAGGTGAGTATTTTAATAAATAAATGTTGCATTCATGAATGCTTAACTTTAAACATAATAAGTAATAGTCTTTTATCTTCTGTTAGAATGCTATTTCAGTGAAGGTGGTAGTTAAGTGTTTTAATTTAACTTTTTTAAATCTTTGGTTCACCAATATGCAGTCTATTGGAACTTGATACATGCAAAGCAGCAAATATTATATTTACAGAGGGTAAAAACTTCCTTGTGGTGTTGATTAATTGTGATTCTTCATATGCATCACTTTACAAATTTCTACAATAATCCTCAAGGGTGGGTTCACACCTAAAGGTCCGGTTCCTGAATCAAACCATTAAAAGGGAAATGAAAACAATTGAATGCACTGCACAGTCTAGATTATAAATATCGAACATAAAACTTACACCAAAAGAAATTAAAAGATACCAAAATAAATAATAAAACAACTAAAAATAATCTTGATGAAAAGCCTAGCACCTTTGATATATTGAACTTTCAAGCATGTTGGGTCCAAAATTCATGAATTCAATCAAGGACATACATAAATACATATGTATTATGTAAACATTGCCTGCTTTTTTCCTTTTAGCTATTTGCAGGGGCTAACTCCATGATGTACAATATCCAGGTAGAAATATGGAGGGGTTTGTTTTTTACCCACTGAACAACCAATAATCAGGTGACATTTCCACAAAATGGTTTATTATAAGACCTTTAGACACGTCTGTTAAGGATAGTGCTGAAACTGGTGACGATCAGTACATACAGTCTTTAAAGACATCCTCTTTAGTAAGTAATATAACCTACTGCTACATTTGTGGGAAACCAGTCAAAATGTACACGTCATTTATAAAGTTTTGTCTCTCCACATGGGAATCAAGAAAAGAAATGTTGGAATTAGCGTATAACACATGATCAACTATATGGTGGGATACTAGCCTGTACATTCTGCAGGGATGGAGAGAGTCAGGCGAATGATTCATTGCATGTGGGCTAAGCAAAGCTACCGTATTTCTATTAAATTATTATGTTAAATATATTCTTAATACATGTTTTTATTTTCCACCCCAATATATTAAAACCGCTCTGGAAGGCACATCTCTACAGGTATGCCCCAATAGAAATGTTTAACTAGCAAGCCGCTTTTAAAGCTATTTTAATGCAAGTCAGTGTCAACATCACCAAACTTTAAATTTAAAATTAGTGTCTTCATTAGTATTTTGTTGGACAGTACAGCTGCTTGTCCCCATATAAACCTATGTCAGTTTGGTCTCTCTGACTCTTGCTATCCTGCTTTGCATTGTTTTTGTCACTCAAGCATTTGCCCTTTTCACTTTAGACTGGTATTTGGTCAGATAAGTGCCCATTACATATAACTTCACTAAAAATTGCCATCACTTTCATGATGTCCCTTTCCAGATGACTTAATACACCTCCTAGCCAGTTGCTGTAGAAAACTCTGAAGCTAATGAAAATGTAATTAACATTGCTTTGAAGTTTTAGATTTATAATATCCTGTAACTGACATAACACTTGTAGTAAAGTTGTAAATATTTATACATATGTATTGTTTTGGTTAGAATGGATAAGATTTTTTCTTTTGCACCGTGTAACAAGAACACAGACAAGAGGGACAAACAGGCGAACATGAGAAGGGAAGGGCATGAACCCCATGGTAAATACACAATACAAATACAAAAGTATGTGTTTTATCAGTTCAGTTCTACATAGCAGAAAGAAGATTAGCATTTCACAGCCCAACCAGTAAATGAAAAATAGATGATTGACTGGTTCCTGTTCAAATAATACGAACTCATTAACACAAACTTCCCCTCTTTAAAGACTGGGTCATGAGGAGTATCACTTCTTCAAAATGCCCCTTTTCAACAATTTAATACAATTGACTTAAAAATGTATGCGGCACTTTCATTTCTCGCCCAAAAAATCTTCAGAACATACATTTCAGTATTCCACATTACAGACAGCAAAAGTGAGAGAAATAAAAATGACCGATTATCCAGAGATACCCAGACCCTCCACACAGTCAGTGGACATAAAGTTGTTACTGTGATGTAGAGACAGAGCTCAGTTCCAACTTTATGGATGAAAAGTACTTTTGTTACAGATTAAGAACTCACCACTCTGAAACTTTTCCTCCAGTTCATGTTGCCAGGCTGGCTGTTGTAGCTGAATTGAAGCTCTTCTCTCTGACCGGCCTTTCTCTGCTTCTGATTGGCTAGTAGTCCTTAACTAGGAATGAGCATGTGGCAACTCTCAACAAAGATCATTTAGAGACAAGATGTATCACTCCATAGCTAAAGCAAAGCCTTCAACACAGGGTGAAAAGAGGAGCTGCAGTAATGTGAAGTATGACAAAAATATGCTGTTTTTTGAAAATTAAACTATATAAACCTGTTCTGGTACAACCTCTAAATAAGATTTTGAACCTGAAAATGAGCAGAATACCACCTCTTTAACATAAATATATTATAAATATAACTGACATTATTTTAAAAAATACAAAGAATAATAGTGATTATGAACAAAATGGCAGTTTATTGGACTGACTTGTGCAAACATTTACAGTATTCACTGTAAAGGGAGGGGGGCATGAGAGTCAGTGTCAGTGGGGGTCCCGGGCCTTGTTGATGAGGCCAGCTGCAGATGGGCAGAAACTGTTCATGTTGCCTGAGGTTGTTGTCCTGATGGAACACTGCCTCCTGCAGAAGGGGAGTGGCTGAAAGAGTTTGTGTCCGGAGTTTGAGGGGTCAGCCACAATCTTTCCTGCTCGACTCAGAGTCCTGGAGGGAATCAAATTCCTGTATGTGTAAAACTACTTGGCAATAAAGCTGTTTCTGAGTCTGATATGGTGTGAAATGTTGCATCCAATGATATCAAACACTTTGGGTATATGTTTTTTTATTTAACTGAAAACAGCTTACAAATAAGATTAAGATACATTTTGGGGGTTTACATAGTGAATTAATAATACACATTACTGACATTAACATAATGAGGGGTGTTGGTAGTACAGCCCACACAGCAGTAACAGCAGTTTGTCATCCAGCACATGTTTTACTCACCAAAAGACATCTATGTGTGAATTTCAACACCCTGTTTAACGCAGTAGACACCAAGAAGCATCCAGGCTCAAGAGGGGTGGTATAGACAATGAGATGCAGTGACACTTCTTCTTTCTGCAGAAAGAAGAAGTGTCACTGCATCTCATTGTCTATACCACAATGAGAACATTGTGCTAACCTTGAGCTAACCTTCTTTCTGCTACATAGCAGAAAGAAGATTAGCAGATCACAGTCCAACCTGTAAATGGAAAATAGATGACTGACTGGTTCCTTTTCAAATAATACGAACTCGTTAACACAAACCTCCCCTCTTTAAAGACTGGGTCATGAGGAGTATCACTTCTTCAAAATGCCCCTTTTCAACAATTTAATGCATTTGAAAATGTGTTTGGCCCTTTCATTTCTGGCCCAAAAGAACTAAGAACAAGACAGCAAAAGTGAGAGAAATAAAAGGACACAGTTTGTCATATGTTGCTTTTTTTTGTCAGAAAAGTGGATCCTAGCATCTAAATATTTAATTATGCACCCACAGTGTATGCATGAGGGGTGTGTGTTGAAAAGCATGAGTTGGATGGATGGGATTTTTCATCATAACTGTTAGACAGGAGGGTTCCAGGACAACAGTGCACAGTTTACGACCTCTTCATGTGATTAAAACTCTATTAATGGATTTGTTGGCAGCAGAACAAGTTGATGCCATATCAACTTTATATCTCACATGTTTTGTTTCAACGTGTGAGATATAAAGATGATATGACAAATGTGTTAGTGAAGAGCATGTTTACATATCCAGCTCATATGGAGCAATATTAGCATTTATCCATCTGGTTCTTTAGCTAAATGCACCATTATGCTCACTAGCTAGTCAAATTACATCATACATTGATTATTTGTCCTGCCCTACAAAGGCAAAATAGAATGTAGAATGAGTGTAGAACTGAGAAAACTTTAACGTTGTTTTGTTGTACAGTCAAATGAATTGTAGGTAGAATATTGGAAATGCGGCATATCATTGTTTTATAATAAAGAAATTTTTCTACATAAAAATCTTGATGTCAAACATGACCTTTGACCCTAATTTGAAAATTAATGTACTCTGCCTTTGCATTGCCTTCAAAATAACAAGGGGTCATGTTAAGGCAAAAGGCATTAACTTCCATTTGATAGCTCGCTTGGTAGTTGATCCCTATATAAAATGATATAGGCTTAAGAGAATATAAACTTTTATATAGTATAATGTAAATGCGAATGAATTACATGTAGGCCTATTTGAAGGTCACAAAGGTGCATTACTACCTCACACATCATGTTTTTTATAATTCCATTGTCGTATTGATTTGAAACAAAACAACCCTATTAAATTTATATTATTTAATGCAAAATGCAGACTTCCTGCTCAAATTCTCTGGATTAATGAGTAGGATCCTGAAGAGCAACTCATGTCATGGATTTATGTCACGGTTTGAGGTGAGCGCAAAGCAGGAGAGAGCCCAAATGCACGACACTGGAGAGCAGACATACAGTTCAGGGGATTTTAATCCAAAACAGCATGCATGAACAAAACTCTCAGGTAGTAGAAACTGGCAAAATCCAAGTCCAGAACTGGTAGTACAGCTACAGGCAGAACACTCCTCATATGACACGACAGAGCATACACACACAATACAATGACCGGACAGGGACTGAACAGAAACACCAAACATTTAGGCTACGTTCAGACTGCAGGCTAATGTGACCCAAATCTGATTTTTTTGTCCATATGTGACTCAGATCTGATATATTTATTGCAGTGTGAACAGTCCAAGTCACAGGAATCTGATCTTTTCCAGTTCAGAATTGGGCCACTTCCATATGTCGTCCAAATCCTATACAGATTGGATCTTTTTTAATGCGACCTGAATCTGGACACTCCGCAATTGATGCGACTTTTACGTCACTGTAGAGCAGCTGTTGTCACAGTTCTGCTGTAGACGGTGAACGAAAAAAGCCACTATTAAACATGTGGCTCTCTTCCGCCTCTACCGAACAAACAGACATAAAACAACCAAACAAGGAGAGGTAAATAACTAACACCAGGCAGACAGGTTCCAAAATCTAAATCATAACAGACAGGAAAGAACCCCAAAACACAACAGACTAAATAACAGCTACAGCCTGCTGCTTTCAGTAACTATCTTTCCTATCTTTCCACCGGAGGTCCAGCAATGTCAGCGTAGCTAAATGTATTGGATGATAATGAAACGGTTAGTGAGCCTGGACTGAATATTATAACGAGATTGTGTCACGAGATTGGTGAAGTAATATGGAAAGTGATACTACTTTGCACTGGATAACATTAGCAACTGCATTAAAAGCAGAATAGTCACTTATGCAAGCAACGGAGAAAACAGGCAAGTGCTTCATTTCTGAGTGAGTTTTGAACCCATTGACAATAAGGCAATGAAAATTTGATTTATTAACATCAAAAACATACATATAACTCCTTTAATATATTATGTGTAGGATAAAACATCTAAATCTTAAAAAAGGTTCATTATTCTCCTGGTGGGGCCATATTTGGTGTTGGGCTCATATTGACCACATGGAGTCATAAGAGCCTAAATTGGCTCTTTGTCAGATGACAAAATACAAACATACTTTTCCCAGTGTTAAGAAATAACCAGATTAAGAGTTTGTGAGCAACACTCATGGCTCTGTGAGGCTGCTGTGAGCTAAATGCTAACCACAGCACACTGACATGCTGAAGTTTAGCTGGTATAGAGTTTACCATGTTCACTATTTTCATTTAGTTCACTTTGTTAACATGCACTAATTAGCACTAACCAAAGTACACCTGATTTTGATGGGAATGTCATTAGTTTAGGCTGCTAAACATTTTAATGGGAGTGCTGCGAGCCCTTGGAGGACAGACTCAGTTTTTGGTCTCAGCACCTGGACGACAAAGAAAGATGATATGCACATGTTTTGCACAGTGGATGGTAGTTAATATATATCTAAATCTTCATTTTCTCCATAAATGTCCACATTTTCTTCAACAAATGGCTGGGTTACATTTACATAGTTATCTTCATCATCACTGCTTTCTTCTTTTTTTGCTTGTTCTTCTCTGTTGTCGTTTACACTGAAACAGACCACTGTGGCCTTTATAGAATTTGCATCGGGGCCAACTTCCTCATAATCATGATCTTCATCATCACTGCTTTCTTCTTCTTTTTCTTCTGCTTGTTCTTCTTCTCTGTTGTCCTTTACACTGGAACAGATCACTGTGTCCTTTATAGAATTTGCATTGGGGCCAGCATCCTCATAATCATGGTCATCATCACTCTCCTCTTCTTCCCCTCTCCCTGTTTCCTCTTTGAGTTTCCCCTTGGTGCATACTGAATCAACATTCACATAGTCCTCCTCCTTCTCATCATCTTCAAAATGGTTGCTGCCTCTGACAGACACTGAAACACAAGCATCAGGACAAAATGTTTCATGAATGTCAGAATCAAATCTTTACAAGCATTCAAGCACAAACATTGGGTGGAAGTGTATTCTGAGAAATGAAAAACAAAACAGAACCAGTCTTTTTTTATGTCATGTACTATTTTTCCTGGTTTGCACACACATTGAGTTTGGACGAGGGTTTCTGGCTGCTTGGCTCGTCGTCTTCTCCTGACAACCAAACAAACCACCAAGACCAGCAGGAGCAGCAGCAGACCCCCACCTGCTACTGAGGAAACCAGCGGCAACAAAGGCACTATAGGAGAGAGAAACATTTTAACTTAATTTAATTTTCCATACCATCATTTTACCATAGAAATAAATAATAATACAGTAATGCAACCTGCATCCATTCGTTCCCTTATGATTTGAAAATTATACTGTATATATATATATTATATATATTATAATTATAGTGCTGACTCACGTTAACTTTGAAGCGCTTGTTAAATCCGCTCGTTAAATACAATGTGTCCGTTCCTTGATTATTTATATTCCTTTAATCTGTAAGGGTCCACCGATCAAAAGAATCAAAACAGATTTTCATAAAAATTAATCCAAGTTGTGAATCCTGTCATGTGAAGTCCACCGCTCTCTGTCTGCTAACTTCTCTCATCCTGCACCGTGTTGTTGTTTTCGATTGCTGCCTTCAAAATAAAAGCGCATAACCGTCTGTCAGAGCTAGATCAAATGAATGACGTGTATTTGATGTTATTCTGTTTGAAATAAATAAACTGTTTGACAGTAGTTTCAGTTTTGTGCAAAAAGAATTAAAGGCCTGTCCCATATGGACACCTGTCCCAATTAAGGCAGGGTCAATTCAGTGATTTTAGCAAATAAAAGCCCGGGCTATTATTCAAAGTTTTAAGGTATACATATATCGTTATTTACTTTTCACTTGTCTTCACCTTAGTTAGTAAATAAATATTTCACTTCAATCACAGGTACGGTGTGTGAGTGAAGTCCAGCACACCAGCATTCGCCAGATCGTCTGCGTGTCTTCCGTTCCGCTTTGTTTGTTCTCCCTCGCTCTCACAGAACCACTCTAACCTGCCTGCCAGTCGCCTGCCTGCTCACCTGCTTCACCCTTACAGCTTCAGCTCAACCACCTCGCTTGGTTTTCCCTATCTGGACCTGGATCACTCCCTCACCCCCAACAGACATTCATCAATAAAATCCTTTTGACTAGTGAACTGTTATCTGGCTCTGTCGTGCTTTTGGGTCCAGCTCTCTTGTACACACACATAACAGTACGATCTGGGCAACATGGACCCAGCTGACTCTGATGCCAATAACTCCTCTGTCCACAAGGCCTTGTCCAGTCAGGGTAAACTCCTGGTGTAATGAATTTGATATTTCATCAGCACCAACAGCATATCCGGACTTTGACCACAAGCAGCCAGGCTCTGGCGGATCAGGTAGCGCAACTTCAGACACAAATTGCCCAGCTCTCTACTTGCTCTTACCATTTTCCCCAGCAGCCTGCTCTTGACACCCCCGCTCCGAGTTCCATTTCTTATGTGCTGGATCCGGAACCTTTCTACGGGGAGTTGGATAAACGTCGGGGGTTCCTGTTCTAATGTTTTCGCCTCCATCACCTCCCAGAGCTGCGGTCGACGGACCCATGCAGTGACTCCTTTTGAACGCGACCGTCGGATGAGAGCTGGAGAGTGCCTGTACTGTGGCAGGCCTGGGCACCGCATCGCCCTCTGTCCTGTTCGGCCAAAATAGCAGACTCGCCAGTAAGAGTGGGGGTATTGGTGAGTCACAGCACAGTTATTTCCCCATCTCCCATTCTTATGCAGATTCCAGCCACTCTCTAATTTTCCTCTTACCGCATTAATAGATTCTGGGGCTGACGACTGTTTCCTTGACAGAGAATTCGCTTTAAGAGCGGGCATTCCTTTAGAGCCTCTGAGTAACCCCCTTACGGCTAACGCCTTAGACGGTCAGCTGCTGGCTTGAGTCACTCATCATACAGTCCCCGTCAACTTAATCCTGTCAGGCAATATCAATGAGCAAGTTTGGCTTAACATCATCTCCACTCCAGATTCCCCCTTAGTACTAGGTTACACCTGGCTTAAGCTACACAATCCCCACCTAAACTGGTCTGTGGGCCGAACAATTGGCTGGTCATTCTGTCTGCAGTCGGCTCTGCCACCGGCGGAGGGCGCTGTTCCCAAACCGATCCCTGACCAACTGATTTCTTTCTTCAGGTCCTCCAGAATATCACAACCTTGGCGCAGTCTTTAGTAAAGATTTGGTCCTTACCTTACCACCCCATCGTCCATATGACTGTGCTCGAACTCCTTCCGGGTGCTACACTCTCCTCTAGCCACCTGTAAAGTCTGTCCAAGCCTGAGATGGAGTCCATGGAAGCTTACATTAAGAGCTCATTAGCCTCAGGTCTCATTCCCCTTGTTCCAGCAGTTTCCCAAGCCCTAGTTAATGACGTCCTCCGTGATTTTATTAACAATTTTTGTATTTGTGTACTTGGACGACATTCTGATCTATTCCAATGACAGAGACTCCCGGAGAACAAGCTCTATGTGAAAGCAGAAATGTGTGAGTTTCACGCCAGCACATTGAGTTTCCTGGGATATGTCATTCATGATGGGCAGGTGAAGGCGGATCCGGCGAAGATTGATGAACAGGAACCCCCGACATTTATCCAACTTCCCGGTCAACAGGAAACAGGTACAACAGTTCCTGGGGTTTGCCAACTTCTTTCGTCACTTTATCGGAACTTCGGCGGTGTGGCAGCTCCTCTCTCTCACCTTGCTTCCACGTCCACCCCCTTCAACTGGACCCCTGAAGCTGACCTGGCATTTACTCCACTTAAGTGGCAGTTCACCACAGCGCCCATATTAGTGCAGCCGAAGTGGATGCCTCGGACACGGGGTGGGTGCAGTCCTCTCCCAGCGCTCCAATACAGATCAAAAGCTCCATCCTTGCACTTTCTTCTCTCGCCATCTAACCCCTGCGGAACATAACTAAGACGTGGGCAACAGAGAACTCCTTGCAGTGAAATTGGCCCTGGAAGAGTGGAATTACCTGGAGGGGTCCAAACAGCCGTTTATCATTTGGACCGATCACTAGAACCTGGCCTATATCCAGTCCGCCAAGAGGCTCAATTCCAGGCAGGCTCGCTGGGCCCTGTTTTTTGATTGGTTCCAGTTTACCCTTTCCTACAGGCCCGGCTCTAAGAACACAAAGCCCAACGCTTTGTCTTGACAATTCACCAGCGAGGAGTCTCCTTCAGAACCTGAGACCATTCTGCCTCCTCCCTGTGTGGTGGCAGCGGTTACCTGGGAAATAGAGTCACTGGTGAAGGAGGCTCAACGGCACCAACCCGACCCTGGTACTGGTCCTCAGGGATGTCTTTTCGTCCCTGACGCTGTGCGGTCCCAGGTCCTCCAATGGGACAAACACAGGACTTTCACCCAGGAGACGAGACAACAAGTCAGTGTTGAGTTATTTTTACTTGAGTACCTATGGCCCTATTCCACCGCATGGTACCAGCTCGACTCTACAACTTGCTTTTTTATGGTTTTCCAGTGGGGAAAAGTTGTACCTGATAACGCCAAGGTTTTTTAAGCGAGCTGAGTCAAGCTGAGTCGACACCATAAGGTGACGTAAAAAACACTGCAGACTACTGATTAGTCAGAGAGAATCGTCAATATTCACTGCATCATCATTAAGCGCACCAGTTCGGGGCCAGTGTTTTCTATTTTACAATGTATGCTATTTCATCACTACATCCACTTCTGAGAAGTTTTGAGGTGAGAAATCAACTATGTAGATTTCTAATATACGTACCACATGAATGTAAGTATTCTAGAGCAAAACTGCCAGCAAGTCAGACACACAACAGCAGACCATCATGACCGCTCAAAACAAACCCACACAGTGTTGATACAGAACTAAAGACACTATCATAAAATTCAGTCTGCATTATCATCTCTAATTCCTAATTTTAATCATTCTCATCAAGTGTCAAGTTTCAAATACTCTTTTTTTAGCAAATGTCTCCTTTCTTATTGCTCATGTTGACTGTGAATGATGTAATCTGCGTCCAATAAAGCAGTAGTCATACACTGTTGTTGGGAAGTTGGGAATTTTGGGGAATTCCAGAGTTAAAACAAATGCCATGTTTATTGTGAAAGGACTCACAAAAGACTTCAAATGAAATAATAAACTCTATATTGAATCCCCAATTTCACTGCTCATGCCTATGCACCAGTGTTAGCTGACAATAACATAAATTATGAAAGAACATAGTTATAATGAAATGATAGGGTGGGCTCTCAGCTAGCTAACATCAGATAGCTCATTTTTAGTAAAAGAAATGGCAATTACAAAACTCTGAAAGTAGGAAAGGTAAGTGTATTAAAGCAGCTAGATAGTTAACTACTGACATTAACCTACAGCATCTCCATTGGATGCACTGGACTTGAGCAGCTGCCGCAGCAAGTGATGCATATGGACAAGACGTTAAACTAATATCAATGTTAGGAAATGGTATGGGCCATTTTAGGGGTGTCTTGAATTAGCCTTAGCCCCAATGGTACGACATTTTTTCTCGATTGCTTAAACATGTTTCTTGAAACTCTAAACACAAATCCACAACTTCTCACCCAATTCTCCTAACTTCCTATTTTCAGGTCAAAATGAACGTCTCAACTCAAGCACCTTTGCCTTCAGACATAATAATTTGTACATTTGCAAATTTTTTAGTCCTTAGTGTACTGTACAGTACAACACACCGAACAACAAATTATTCTGCACAAGCATCCTGTCTTTGTGCTGCGACAAGATGGACGAGAGATTCTCCTCCTCCAACTACTACTGTTCCTCTTCCTCCTCTCCGTACTGCTCCTCCTCTTCGTCTTCTCCCTCCTCTTCCTCCTCTCTGGTGTCCTCTATGTCTTCAGATTTCTCTGGATCCATTGTTCCAAAATTGGATGAACCGACTCTGGCCTTTTTATCTTTCTATTGGAGGTTCTGATTGGTGTGTTATCAATTATGACTCTTTGTGTTTCCACCTGGGTAGCTGTGTGCTAATTGACCATTTAACCTTAGCTGACTTGAGTGAACAATATTGAATGTCAGTGCTTTCTAAATGACAAAAGGAAAAAGGGTGTTCTTTTTGAAAAATGGTGATGTGGTTTTATAATTTTAGATTAAAAGCCTGGTTATAGTGTTTAAGCAACCAACAAAAACTGTAATTTCTTTATTTCACTGCAGGCCCATCAG